TCTCCTCGTCGTCGGCTTCTTCTTCCTCCTATTCTCCCGCCACACGTGTCTCAAACACAAACTTCGGCCCCTTCTCCGGCCGCACGTGCCTCTCTCGGACTCCACTCAACCGGACCGTCTCAAATTGTCATTTCACTCGTCTACATCAGACACAATCCTTACACGTCTACCTTAGACACAATCTCTACACGTCTATATCAGACCAATACTTCACACGTCTATATCAGACACAAACTGTACCCGTCTATAACAGACCCAACTTCCACACGTCTATTCCAGACAAAAACTCCAGGCAATCTGACCTCTCCCGCACGTCTGACACTCGCCAGCTATCGCGCGTATGAATCACCTATGGCTTAATCTAGGTCACGCCGCGTGTCTAAACTCTGTCACTTGTGACATACGCCCCAATTACAACTATGTTCTTACATATAGTCAAGAATCCCCTTCTCCCCGTCCTTCTGCGTGACTTTCCCGCATAACTTAATTACCCGCAGAGAGTCGACTGAGGTAATCGGCCCTCACATTGTCGGCTCCCTTAATGGCCTCAATGCGGTGGGAGCCTCCATTGGCTACTTGATCCTCGCAATGCTCTACCTCCCCTTGTACCCGCCTTCCTTTCACATGAATCATGGTATTCCCGTTACCCTCGCCGACACCACTACACTGATTTAAGTAGCACCCCGCTGCTAGGTTTCGTCCATTAGGTCGAGCATGGTATCCGGTATTCCTCACACTGTGCGTGGGGCCATGTGAGCCATACCCGGCTTCGCTATATCCTTGCCTCCGCTGTACTGTGCTCGTAGGGGTTCTCCTACTGTCGCCTGCACAGTCTCTCGCTATGTGTCCCAGTCTATTACATCTGAAGCATCGTCTCTCTGCCTCTGTCTTAGTACCCTGTCGCTGGTTACCTGGCCCTTTACTCATCCCGTCTCTACTTACTCTCCGACCATCATTTTTACTCTCATCTAGGCTTCGGCCATGTGCCTGCAAATACTTCTCAGCTAACGTAGTGAGTTCTTCCATCCGCAGTGGTGTCCTCTCGTTTAAAAACAGTGACAAACCCTTGTCGCATGATCCAATAAACTTCTCTTTTAATATCAACTCCTTGAGCCCGTCGAAGGTACGCTGAGTGTTAGAGAGATCCACCCACCGTAATAGATACCCTTCCAGTCTTGTCACAAACTGTCCCGGACTTTCTCCTGCCTCCGCCCTACTATCACTGAGTTTATTCCAGAAGCCTTCTGCAGTCAGCTGGTATCTCCGTAATAAGGCCCCCTTCAAGCTTGCGAACCGGTTGGCCTCCTCCGTTGGCAGCCTTGAGTATACCTCTAACGCCCTTCCTGTAAGTAGTGCACTCAAGTTGACCGCCCAAGTACACTCCTCCCAATCCTGCGACTTGGCGAACCGCTCAACCATCGAGGGTTCCATCATACTTTCCTCCGCCGCCACCTGATCTTTCACCCTTTATAGCCTTTATTATAGCCTTTAGTGTACGGAAGTCACACTCACACTCTGCACTTGCACCTGGCAGGGATAGGACTAAATCCATAAGATTCAGTATGTGCTGGTACTGACCAGGCCTGCGTTTCACTAACGTTGCTGTTGCTCCTCGTGTTGGGTTGTGGGCAAATGGAAACCTAAAACCACTGTATCCTAGGAACTGGAATTGCAGGACGTGATTTGCCAATTGTTTGCCAGTGCTCTCATGCTTGATCACCTGTAGGGTTTCTGATTTAGGAGCACAGTCTACAAAGCCAACAAGTTTCAAACACTGTTCTTGTCGCACTGTTTGAATGTCTTCTTCTATTGACATTTCATCAAAGAGAACACCACCTTTTATCCCATGCTGTGGAATGTTCTGTCGTTCGGCCTCCCTCCGCATCCAATCCAGCACTTGGATCCAGGAAAGATTCCTGGGGTACTGCATTCGTACACAGTCTCAGAAGCTGCTTGGATGGAAGAAGAATGAAGCCTGAATTATTGAGGTCTTTATATGCAGCTGAATTCCTGGTCCAGATTGTCTGTGCGAGCTGAATCGTTTCTCTGTACCATAAGCCTATTCCAACACTAGGAGATATCCATATATTACCATTTTGATAGAACCACCTATGAACTAATCATTTTCATCATAACATGATCTAGGTGAACATAGTAAATGCCATCAGACGTACATATTTATCATGTTACTCACCTAGATACCACTTAGAACTGAACTTGTAAAAAATACCTATATAATACGTTGGGAATGGATGATATAAATACCCACGATGTGTACAGTCAGGGCTTTAATCTGAATGCTCTATTTCATGAGTCAACATACCTCTTTACGAAGGAACTGAATGGCTAACCCACGACATTCAACTCTTGTGCTAGTTGGTTGACAACCGTCTTACCTGTTTCCCGTTGGTCCTTTGGCTTTCAAAATCCTCTGCTGCTCCAAGATTAAAGCCTTCAACTCCTCACTGGCATCTGGCAGTACAGCATCCAGAATGGTGGCCATGTCCTTTGCGTCTTGGTCATCCAATTGGATAAAGTATGTTTCTACTAATGGCTTCGTCACCTTAACCTTTTGACATGAGCAGCAGGTGAATGTATCCAAGTCAACAGTAAATGGCAGGACTCTTGTACATGCTTCTGTAC